AACTGCTTCTCTCTCAGATGCTCTGATAGGATAACAGAATCTCAGGCCTCTGAAAAACAGAGTTTAAAAAGCACTAGCTGAACATTCCTCCTCAAGTGATTAAAATAACCAAGATCCTACATGCAGGAGGGAATAAGTACAATGAAATGAATCCAGATCAGTTCTCCCAAAAGGTGCGTCCTGAATGCACTTCTATCGTGGATTAGGTGCTAACCAATGGGCACATGTAACTATTATGTCATTTCACAGTAGTTGGTATCTTGGTAGCTGCAGAATGGCATTTATAACGAACTTGAGTTAAAGCCATGAAGTGCTTTAGTAAACTTTTAAATAATTTGGAGTATTGTTACAAAAGAAAATGGAGAAAAGACATTCCAAGGGAAAGTACACTAATCATGTACAAAATAATGTCAAATTTTTATTTTTGAATGATTTACTATTTGCATTTTTATATCATAAATGAATAGTTTAGATTTGATTCCAAATATGTTCTATTTTTCTAAGGAAACTACAGAAAACATATTATTTAAATTTATTAACAGTTTGCATGAAGTAAAAAATATTGTGCTAGTATGATACACAGTTAAGTTACTTACTTGACTTTTTAGTTAAGTGGACAATGATGACATAATGTGCTTTCTGTTATGAGTTTTATATTAGGATTAGTTTTCCTACAGGCATGAAACACATGTAAAATGAGTTTTTATTTCAGTTAAATCTTGCCTATCAACTCTGAGCCAATTTCTAATTATGATTTTATCATCAGAAGTGTTTCATCTCCCTGACCAATTGAGACTGTCTCAACATGAAGTAAAAAGTCATCCAGGAAAATGTGAAAGTAATTCATCAGCTATATCTTCCTTTCACTAAAAAATTTTCACTCTCACATGAGAGAGAGAGGGGGGGGGCAAAGGAAGGAGGGAGGGAGGGAGGGAGGGAGGGAGAGAGAATAGCGCTGGGTCACAGTATAAAAGATAATTTGTTTTTTGATTTGGAACTGAGGATTGGACCCAGGGCCTTGAACATGTTCTCTACATTTCCAGCTCTATCTGTTATAATTTGCACATACTGCAAATAAAGGAATTTCTTTGTTTCCTCCTTAGTTACCACAACTTTATCTGCAGGTAAGGTTGAGACTTAAGAAGTACAATAAAAGGCATCTGCCAACTGCCCTCTCTTTTTTCTTTCAGCTAAGAGCTAATATGTTCAAGGTTTGGTTTTCTGAACTAAAAAGCACATGATAGTTTTAGGGAAACTCAGAAGAATGCACTTGCTACACTATTCTCTGGCCTTAAAAGAGTCTTCTAGTTCTATATTACTATGCTTTCATTAGACATTATGACCAATTTTGCAAATACTATGTCACTTGATGCAAAGGTTTTAGTAAAAGTGAAAAAGAGAAAAGAAATGAAGAAATTATAAGCATCAACATATATCACCTATCAACTCTTTCAAGGAAAACATTTTACCAGTCTGCAGCCACTGGGAACTTTTTCAAACACACCAAAACAAATAATTTCTGAAGATAGTGATTTGGGGTACCAGTCTACCTCCAAACACA